AGCCGCTGCGAAGAAGGAGCTAAAGGCCATTCCTGAAATCGATTATTACAACTGTTTCGAAGATTGGAAAATCCGTTGGAATAAGTGTATTATATCAGGGGGGGATTACTTTGAAGGGGACGAAATTGATTTGCAAGAATAAATAAAGAATTTTCGAAATAAATGCAATGTCACCTTACTTTTTGGACACAGTAGTATATTGTATTTTATGTATATTTTATTGAGGCATTTCATGCAATATTTAATATTACAAGCACATACGTATACGTATATGTATATGTTTGTTTGTGTGCGCGCGCGCTCGCACAAGTGTCTATAAGTATATACGCACAAGTTACACACTCATATAAAACTAACATTTTATAATTTTTCGCTGAAGCGCATTGCACGGGGAAGCAACAGAAGCATATTACATAGCACATATAGAAGCATATTACATAAAATATTATATAGAAGCATATGACATACAAGCATAATATTAAAAAAAAAGGAAGATAGTTGCAGAACATATTCTGCTTCGAAGGCTACACCGACGAAAGAATACTTAAAAATTTATTTATGGGATATCCTGTATATCTGTGGGGTTATCGTATGACAAAATGCGCCGTGTCGCAATTATGCGTCTACCTGTCAAACGAGAGATTGTCTTGCATCAACTGCTAAATATTGAAATGACAGAAGAGATCAAACCGAGACGAAAAGTCCTTTGTCATTTTTTAGTACGAGCAATATTTAGCAAGATACTAATTAATTAATTTTGATGCTTAACGCTCCCTACAATTCACGGAGCACAGGTAGTGCCGCGCATTATAAGATTGCGAATTCCCGTCTTCTAGACTGGCCACAGACATAATATATCTAGACCGAGTGTTTGCCTTTATTTGAAGAGTGGAGCAGAATATGTTCTGCTTAAACGAACAAGTTTTTAAAATAAGAATGCTGCATTGGAAATTAAGCACCCAGAAATTGGGTGCAATTACTGCACCCAAGGAGTAGTGTCTATACAATTTGTAATATAATAATTTCATTGTTACTAAAAGAATCATAAAATAAAAAATGAATGATGTATTGTATACAAAGTGCGACATTTCAGCACAATGTTATATGATATTACATTTCTCATATAATCAGTGCAAAATTGAAGTAATCCATTCATGTCTCTCAAATAATCATTTTAGTTATGTGTAAAAAAATGTTTATTATAGAATCAATGTCCTTGAAACATGGTATTATTTTTTTGTTGTATTTTTTATCATTTTGTACATATCTTGTATTGAAAAATCGTGGCAATTGGAAATTAGTATTTTCAATGCCACGATTTTTCAATACAAGATATGTACAAAATGACAAAAAATAATACAATGTTTCAAGGACATTGATTCTATAATAAAAATTTTTTTACACATAACTAAAATGATTATTTGAGAGACATGAATGGATTACTTCAATTTTGCACTGATTATATGAGAAATGTAATATCATATAACATTGTGCTGAAATGTCGCACTTTGTATACAATATATCATTCATTTTTTATTTTATGATTCTTTTAGTAACAATGAAATTATTATATTACAAACTGTATAGACACTACTCCTTGGGTGCAGTTCAGAACATAGCCGACCCGGAAACGTCCACAGTTCTTTCGGGGCGCAACATGAAAGGCTAGAGGTGCAGACGCCAACGGATGAGGGAAGAGGATCCAACAAGATTTTCTCTCACATATTTAAAAAAAAAAATTATAAAAAAAAGGCATGGTTGGCGGACCAATAAGAGAATTAATTTTTTTGTAAGTAGAGAAACAAATTATGACTCTGGATCATCCACTGCATTCAGAACTGCATCCAGAGAAAAGTATACAAAGTATTTTTAAATGTAATGTACATTGCTACTAATCAGAAAGGATTGATACAACCCAGGCAGCAGGGTGACAAATGTCTTTACAATGTCTGTAACGTCAATAAGATACAATTAAAACGTTATTTGACGTTACTCAGTTATTTTGCAAAGTATTTGAAAAATCGTGACGTTTATTGTACTGAAACATTCTATTAACAATATGGAGTTCATTATATTTAATTCAAATATGCAGGTATAATTAGTTTCTAAGAAAAAAGTAATGGAAGGAAAAAGTAATGGAAGGAAAAAGTAATAGAAAAAATGTGTTTGTAAAAGTTTACTTCCAACGTTGTAATCGTGAAAAAACTTTATTTATTGTAGCTTTTTGAGATGGACTTGAAAATGAGTTCAGTGTCTATCTTCGTTACAAACATACGTTCATATTAAAACCCATACTATAAATAATGATTTGCCTGTTACTTATGTTCGATATTAAGATACAAATTGTCTCAATTACCTTCGAATTCTTAAATAATATTATTGCGCCCGCGCTTTTGGGAGCGTATTGCTGGTTCGGTTCGAGATCGAGAGATGAGCGAGACAAGACGACGAGCGACCGGCTTGGCAACGTGTAAACAACAACAGAGATGAGATGGTCCCGAGCTGTCAAACCGATTGGACGTGCGACGCATCTCTCTGTTAATATTAGAATATTGTTAATCCTGCATCAAGAAGCTTTATAGCGGCATTAAATTCCTTCCTAGTTTACTCTAATAAGTGTCTGATTTATTCCCCGCGAACGCGAACGCGAGTGTGCGACAAGGCGCAACATTTTGGGGGCTCGTCCGGGATACAAGCGGTAAAGACGCGATCGCGTACGAAAGCGGGGACGCGTGTGTTTGTGTGAGAAAAGAAGACAGTGGGCCATGTCAACGATACATTCCCCGAGAAAAACAAGGAGTCAGGCTCAGATCGTGGAGCAAACGGGTTTGCAGGCAGCGGAGGTGGAACAGCAGCTGGCTCGTGCGGAGGAGAGCGATCTCCTGCGGGACACACTCCAGGCTGCAGTGGAGGAACTGAGAATGCTCCGACAGGAGCGTTGGAGAGTGCCGTTGCAAGGCCAAGGCGAGCCGGGGGAGCGGCTAGGAGTCAATGCAGGCCAGTCTTTCCCAAATTATAAGCTTAGAGCTGACAATTATGATGGAGAAACGCCTCTCCGAGAATTTTT